ACGGGGACTGGTGGTGCAGGGTGTGAGGGGCTGTGCTGTGCTCCGCAGGAGCTGAGCGGTTTCCCCAGCGAGGCGCAAGGTGCCGTGGAGGTGCTGCACCCGGCCATGTACACCTGCACAGCCGTGCTGCTGCTCTGCCTCTTCACCACCATCATCACCTACATCGTCAACCACGGGTGAGCGAGCGTCTCGGCGCCGGCTGCAGCTTGGGTGGGGGTCTCTGTGGGCAGCACTGCCAATGGCCGGAGGAAGGTGTGCGGGGATGGCCGTCTGGGAGATGACCAGCCAGGGCATGGCCCTCCAGGACATGGGCTTTCAGGAGGTGGCCCTCTAGGACGTGGCACTTTAGGGCATGGGCTTTCAGGAGGTGGCCCTCTAGGACGTGGCACTTTAGCACATGGGCTTTCAGGAGGAGGCCGTCTAGGGGGAATGGCTGGATGTGTCCTGCCTTTGTGGCATTGGGGACCTTGGGCTGGTTGTCCGTGTCTTGTCCTGCAACGTGAGGCATGGAGGAGGTGAGTGGGACTTTGAAGGTGGGTGCGAAGATTCTAGGACGTGGCACTTTAGGGCATGGGCTTTCAGGAGGTGGCCCTCTAGGACGTGGCACTTTAGGGCATGGGCTTTCAGGAGGTGGCCCTCTAGGACGTGGCACTTTAGGGCATGGGCTTTCAGGAGGTGGCCCTCTAGGACGTGGCACTTTAGGGCATGGGCTTTCAGGAGGTGGCCCTCTAGGACGTGGCACTTTAGGGCATGGGCTTTCAGGAGACAGCTCTCCAGGAAAGTGCTGCCAGGCAAGTGGTGCTGCCACAGGAGCCCGTCTTGGGGGAATGGCTGGATGTGTCCTGCCTTTGTGGCATTGGGGACCTTGGGCTGGTTGTCCGTGTCTTGTCCTGCAACGTGAGGCATGGAGGAGGTGAGTGGGACTTTGAAGGTGGGTGTGAAGACCCCCCGAGACCTCATTGGGTCAGAAATGGTGAGCAGCTGGGGCTCAGGGATGGGGTCCCCCCATACCTGGAGCCAACGAGCCCCCAGGTGAGGGGACAGTGGGGCGTTGGGCAGCGGAGTGGTGGCTGGGCAGGAGCAGGGGGGCTTTCCCTCTGCACAAGCAGTGCCCCACGAGCGACCGGGATGGGGTGACAAGGGCAGGAGCAGGGTCAGCCGTGCTGCCAGAGCCTCATCCCAGGCTGGTGCTGAGCTCCCTCCGGGGCCAAGCGCTCTCCACCGCTCCTCCATCCTCCGGCAAGGCAGCAGTGAGCATCGCCCGGCCGCGGGTCCTGCTCAGAGCCCCGGTGCAGCAGGAGCCCCCCACTGCCCCACGGCTAATCCCGAGCGCCCCCTCCACCCCCCCAGCATGCAGAGGGGTCCAGGGCAGCAGTCGGGGTGCAAGCCAGAGCGAGCCCACCCCAACAGGCCGCTGACCAACCAGCTGCCTTCTTTAAAGCAAAACCAACACAAATAGTTCCGTCTAACACTTAACGAGCGCTTAATGAGATGCACATAGGGCCAAAGTACGAGCTTCCTGCTACAAGCGACGCGAACGCTAACGAAGCCGAGCAATGCTCTTGGTCCACATCTGTTGCCCCACAAGAGCAATTATATCTAACACTTAACAAGCACTTAACGAGATACATATAAGGCCAAAACATTCCTCTTACTATAAGTGAAACAAACACTAATAAAGAAACATCGTTAGCTAAATCTATTCTCTATTTCTCAGAAAGAACACAATAATAAGTATTATATCTAACAAGTACTTAATGAGATAAATATACGGCCAGACAATTCCTCTTAGTATAAGTGAAACAAACGCTAACAAAGTCCGGCAGCATTGTTAGCCCACATCTATTATCTGTTTCTCAGAAGTAACCCAATAGTATTATATTCGACACTTAAGAAGCTTTTAATGAGATGTACATAAGGCCAAACCGTCCCCTTACTGTAAGTGAAACAAACACTAACAAAAACTCCAGCAACACTGTCTGTCCCCGTCTAGTTGTCATCACCTATTTGGGAGAACCCAACAGTAATTTTTATATCAAATACTTAACAGTACTTAATGACACACATACAAGGCCAAAACCAGTCAATTTATAAGTGAAACCAGTATTAACAGTTAAAGCCGAGCAATGCTGTCGGTCCACATCTAACTACTACCCAGTTGGAAGAACCCAATAATAATAATTATCTCTAACACCGAACAAGTACGTATTTAGGTAAATATAAGGCAACATTCCTGTTGCTGTAAGTGAAGCAAACACCCTCAAAGCCGGGCAGCGCTACCGGCCCACATCTGGCGATGGAAAGGTGCTGCTGCCCGGGCAAAGGCAGGAACAGCCCAGAGCGGGGGCGCCCGGAGAGCCGCCCCGACCTCCGGCCCCGCTCCCTCCTCCGCGTCCCAGCACCGGTGCCTCCCTGCTGCCAGCCCCGTGACGGACACGCTGCCAGCAGCTATGACAAGCCCTTTGCCCACACGCACGCACTTCTGGGCTTCTCCATCAGCCACGCTCCGTTGCCTGGCCAGGGACTGGCTGGG